TCTTTTAGGGACAAACTCTACCTTATTTACCATCTTATCCCTGTGTATGACAAGGCATCTCTATGGTTCAAATTAAGGATATATGACCCATGCCTGTACAGAAGCCTGAGTTTCCATCTGCAATCAAGAATTTATCTGAGCAGAAAACAACCAAACCCTAGGAACAAATTCCTCCTCTCCTAGGACCCCTAACAGAAAGTTCTAGAAGTAAACTTGTTTCTTGAGCTTCTCAATGGAGCCCTTGGGTCCCTTGAAGTGTATCTGCATGCCACAGCATACAACCTTCCACTATTCTACTGTTCGAATGTGTTTTTTCAATTCTCTAGTTAACAAGAAACGGGGACCTTTGTTGTAGAGACTTCCAGTGGCATTACTTCCAGGGCATCTAGAGTCTCTGTTGAGATTATCTCTAAGGAGGCTGTCATTCTTGGGGATTATAGCTTGGGATGACCCACCAGAGCTCTCCCAGATGTAATGGTCAACCAGTTATCCAAGTCCCACTCAAAACCTGCTTCCCATGCAGATCCCCAGCCTGGGTAAGAGGCAACCCAATTTACCCCTTCTTCCCTTCTGAAGCATTGCCAAGGTCACAGAGACCTGAGTAGCTGGGGATCAGTACAGTCAACACACGTTCTCATTCCTAGCTGTTAGCACTTCTGCCTGGCATTTCCTCCCTACTCACTGCTCAGGGTCCCCCTGAACATCCTTTACCTCTCATTTCTCCAGTTCTCCAGCAGAATAGAGTTAGCTGTCCAGGAAGGAGAGTTATTCATTCTAGTTTTCTTTCTATTGCTATGATAGGATACTCTGATAAAAAGCAATTTAGGAGAGAAATGGTATTTAGTTGAGCTTATATTTCCATGTTAAAGTCCTTCACTGTGGAAAAGTGAAGGCAACAGGAATAAAACAGCTAATCACATCACAGTCACAGTGGCGTGCAGAGAGAAATGAACCCAGCAGGCTGGTGTTCAGCTAGCTTCCTATGTTCATCCTGTTCTCCACAGTTCATGGCTCAAAACTCTGGAGTAAGTACAACTTACTTCCATGTTGGTTTTGCCTTTATCAATATAAGCAAGCAAGACCGTCCTCCACAGACAAACCCACAGGCCAACCTCATCTGGACAATGCCTCACTCTGGGGAGTCTCTTCTCAGGTGACCCTAGGTGTTTGTCAAATTGAGAGTTAAAAAAGACATCACAGATGTCCATCCTTCTGCTTCCATAATGCACCCTGCTTACCCAAAGCCAGCATGCTGGGAATGAGCATCTTGGTATTCTTATTATCACGCAATAGGTTAGCAGGTTCCCAGAACCCCCTAGTAGGTACTGGTTCAGAATGTGCAGAGGAAGCAACTCAGGAAAAGGAAGGATGAAGCTTTCCCGTGACTCTGGCTGGGTTTGTGGTGAGCCAGGGGCTTCACCTTCTCTTTCATAGGGTGTTTGAAAGCAATGAATGGAACCCCGCTTTAGCATGTGCCCCCCAGGGAACTGGAAACCTGGTGGCCCAACCTTGATTGGTGTTAATGGAATATGGGATGTGGAGGGGTGTGTGTGTGTGTGTGTGTGTGTGTGTGTGTGTGTGTGTGTGTGTGTGTATTGTATAGGAAGGTAGACAGGTAGATAAACCACAGTGAGAAGAGGAAGTGTGTGTGTGTGTGTGTGTGTGTGTGTGTGTGTGTGTGTGTGTGTGTGTGTGATGTATAGAGAAGGAGATAGATAGGTAAACTACAGTGAGAAGAGGATGTGTGTGTGGGTGTGTGATTTATAGGAAGGTAGATAGGTAAGATACCTATGTTCATATGTACGCATACAGGTGATAGAATATTTATACACATAGGTAAAGAATAACTATTGTATGACAAAATTTTTGTTTCAGTTAAAACATTAGACTTAATTAGGCATTAAATATTCAGGATGCCCTGAAATTTACCTTTGGGACAGAGTGTGGCATGCAGTTGTGACTTTGGCCTTGACCTACAATGACAGGCCAGATCAGTTGACTCTCTGCCTATTGTAACACCCTTCCTGGTTTCTCTGTTTTCTGTAGGTCAAGGATTGGGTGATGCTATAGATTAGTGGTTCTCAACCTTTGTAACACTGTGCCCTTTAAAATTTTTTGTTGCTATTTCATAATTGCAATTGTGCTACTGTTATGAATCATAATGTAAATATCTGTGTCTTCTAGTGGCCTTAGGCAACCCCTGTGAAAGAGTCTGTTGACTCCTAAAGGGGTTGTGACCCACAGGTTGAGAACCACTGCTAGAGATTATCATCCTGGCTAAGCAGTGGAGCTGCTGTGACAAGCTGGGCATGTCATTTACATCCACGGCCAACCTTTGAACGTTCACTTTCAGATAACCATTCTGAATGTCGTGTACAAGAAACATCTCCTTCCACACTTTACAGTTTGACCCTTGTAAATAGAAATATGCAAATGATGGTGTATGAATAAAATACTATAATAAATGCTATTCTGAAATCCCTTAGTTTTATATGTAAAATTCATGATTAAAATATTTCATAAAGTTACATAAAGTGATAATTAGATAGCCCCACCCATAGATGAAGAGCTACTGGCAACTAAATTTAAGAGAGAGTGGGAGAGGCTGGAGAGGGAGAGGGGACTGTTGTAAACTGTTTTAATTAAAAAATAAAATAGGTCTGGGCATGGTGGTACACAGCTTTAATCCCAGCACTCCAGAGGCAGGAAGAGGCAGAGGCAGATGGATCTCTAAGTTCAAAGCCAACCTGGTCTACAAAGCAAGTTCCAGGACAGCCAGGGGTTTGCAGAGAAGCTCTATACCCCCAAAACAAGCAAATAAATAAAATAAAGCACTTTAAAAATAATGGCGGATGGGTGGCTTGAATCATGGGTATTTCCCATTGAAGTCCCAGCCAATGTCTGGCCTTGAGCTATTTGGCTTGATGTTCAAATGTCTAAAGAATCTAATTGGTCTGGGTTGAGTGTGTCACGTTCATATTATAGCATACATTTAGAGATGGTAGAAATAGAAGACGCTGGGTCCCCAAAGGAAAATCAAGGTGCTATTGACTAGATAAGGGAGACCAGATACTGGGAATATAAAAGCACACAACTCAATCAAAATGCCTCAGGCAGGATCAGTTATAGCCAGAAAACCAAGTACACACCCGTTTAGCAAGGCCATCTATAAATACCACCAGGGACCTGTCTGATGAGTGCCACAAACTTGATTGACAACAGAATTCCCCTGGAGTCAGCTCAAGCTAAACTCTCGTGGCAGGACAGAGCAAGGCTGATGGATTTTGTTTATGGAAAGTGACCATTTGGTAATCTTGCAGTCACACTCCAGCTATTGTCTCACAGGATACGAGATAAGAGTCACACGCATCAGGAAAGGTGTGTCTAAAGCATCATGTTGTTCCAGCAAGGAACTAGATACAGGAAGCATGAGATTTCTAACTGAAACTCCAAGTTCAGCAACTCCTTAGCAAGCGCAGCACTATAAGGCCCAAGGCCAGCTTTGAGCTGGAACCTAGAGCCCACACAAGAACTAGTGATCACCTGAGCTCCAGCCTCAGGGCAGCCACTTCCTGTAGAGATCAGATGATCTCTTTAGCTCTTGTGCCCCCATCTTTAGTGTGGGACTGGTTGTTATATTAACAGTCCTACTGTTTTCTCTAAAGGTACAGCTAAAAGCCAGGGCTGGGCAGCAAACTGCTCATTGTTTCATCTGAGGACCTCTGTGTCCGTGCGTGCGTGCGTGCGTGTGATGGTAGTGGCGGTGTGATCTTCTACTCTGGCAGATATACTTATCATGCCTCTATCCCATGCTCTCAGCAGAGGGACTGTGTTGTGATGAGCTCTCACTAGATACTGTTTTGATGGGTGGAGTTGACTCCTCCGAGACTAAATCCTACTATCTCAGGGGGTATTGTGATGATAAAGCACACAGTAGACTCCCTTCCATTTCAGTCATCCCAGAGAATGGAATCACCCACTGTGGGACAGCTTGAGTGCCACCACTGGAAACTACATGTCAGAGACTTTGGGGGGGCATTCTCATTCAAACCAGGGCACCATCTAAGATCAAACAGCGGGAAAACAATAAGACAAAAGTGGACAGGCTTAATCATGTAAGAATAGGCAATTGCCAAACAGATGGACACCATCCAAAGAGAGTTCATTTGTTTGGAAGAGTCTGTTGAATTTAAGGTAGTTTCTACCCTTAATGTAAATAGTTTAAGACAAGAAAATGTCTTTAAAGTCAACAATGATCAAACAGATTGCTCTTTGAAAATTCAACCAAAAGTGAGTAAAAATAGTGTTTGCTTTTACATTAAGAAAATCTAGTACGTCTGTGTAGACAGTGGGCCATGTGCTTGTCGAAGGCTTCATGCTACTCGATGTTGATGGACGTGGGGACAGAGATAGAGCAAAGCCAAACTCCAGTTTTCCTGAAGCCTTAAAATATTCTATCATCGGGCTGGGGAGACAGCTCCCTGGGTAGGAGCACTCTGAGCACGGCACAGGAAACTGGGTTTGGATTCCCAGCATGCATCTCTGTAAGAGCCAGGCTGTACACCTGCAACTTAAGCACAGAGACAGAGCTGTGGGGGCTCTCTGGCGAGCCAGCATAGCTGCAAAACAGTGAGAGGATGGAGAGTGACAAAGCAGAACACCTGGTCCAGGTCACCTCCCGTGACCTCCACATATGCACATTTGTGACCACTTGCTCACATGTGAACACACTCGCATGTGGGCACACCCCCCACACACATTATCCAGCTTTTTGTTGAAATTCTGTACATTGAACCCAGAGCACTCTAAATGACTAGTAGCGTTTAGATAGCTAAATAAACTGATATATCCATATGCTGGAATATAATAAAGACATTAAAATTATATTCTGATGGGTTTAAGTGACACCATCAATTTAAAACATTTTAACTATGCCAAATACTTTGAAAACCTGTTGTAAAATGAAAATGCATCTATATTTATAGAATGTGATATCATACCATACACACCAACAGGCTGCAGAGTCATTTGTCGGTCCTGGAGAAGATGCTGACATGGACCAAATTCATAAAATGGCCTCTGTAAGTCATGTGACTTACAGACAGATGTGACTTACATCAGGTTCATTGTAGTGCTAATGGGAAAACAATGAAAAAGGCAGAGGGTTATTAATATGGACACTGTATTCAGCGAGAAAGCAAAAAATAAGATTAACATTTAAATATCACAAGAAGAATAAAGACCACACACAGGGAAGTGGACCTGCAGTCTGCCATGTCCTCAATGGATAAGCACTCAGTGATAAAGGAAAAAATAAGATTAACATTTAACTACCACAAGAACAATAAAGACCACCCACAGGGAGGTGGCCCTGCAGTCTGCCATACCCCCAAGAGTGGCAAGGGGCCAGGAAGAAAGGCCACCTGACCTGAGCTTTTTTTATAGTCTGAATTTGAAGCTTATCCCCTTGAGAGGATGAGGTAGCCCAGAGTAGGTCCTATTCTTTCTCCCAGAACCTTCTGGGGCTGTTTTTAGGAAATTCATAATGGGCTCCCTCATGAGGTCCCAGGTGGAGACATGGAATGCTGGTACTTCCTGACCCCTGTGGGAACTCTGTAGTTCTCTCTCCCTCAGTGTCTCTGCAAAGTGTGACAGTTTTCAAGGTCCAGAATCTTAAAGCAGGGATGCCAAGCCCCAGGATACTCTGCTGGACAATGAGGAAGGGATACATTTTCCTGAAAGGATCACACTTTTGGGATGTCAGCATCCAGTGACTGGGCGGGACTTCCTGACCACTCCCATTCCACAAAGGGGTCTCAGGAGCAAGCCTCATTTGAACATGGTAGGAATGAGCAAGCCTCTCCAGTGAGCTCAGAATTGGCAGTGACACCTGGTCTCAGAGAAGCGGAGACCTGAGAGGGAGCTGGGCCTCCCCTGTCCACTCTGGTCTCTTTTCCTTTCTTCTGCTCTCTGAAGGGCAGATTAGAGCCATGAGGGGCTGGCAAAGGAAGGATGCTGTTTGCACAGGGTAGGGCCTTCCCAGCTTGCCCTGCCTCTGATCCTCTTCCCTCCCAGTGACCTCTTTGAAAAGCTCTGGCCTTTACCAAGGTCTGGGAAAAATAGCCAAGGAGTGCATAGGACCGCCTCCTTTCGGGAGGCTTTTCCTCCCTTTCATGTGGTGAAGGATCCAGCTTGGAGGCCCCATTGTGTAAACGCTTTAATTGCACGCCTAATACAAACCAGAGCAGAAGCATCCGTCCAAGAATGCTTGTTTGGATTCATTACCGGTTTCAGAGGGGGACCCGGATCCCCTCTCTTATCTGCTCTTGGATCAGCTGAAGGCTGCACTTGTTTAAAAGGGGTTTAGCTGAAGACACAGCGCATTATCACTGTTCCCACCCTGTGCCTTGGAAGGCCGTTTGCTCTAAAGATCATCCCAGCTCAACTCCTAATGGGTGAGGAAACACAGACTTCTGGGAACAGCTCCTGGTCTGCAGCTGGTGGCCCAGAGGAGGTCGCAAAGAAGGGCCTTCCCACACTCCCTGTACCACCCAAAGTGGGAGAGTGAAAATGGAGCAGGGGAAACAGTCCATGCGTTCCACAAAGGACAGAATGGGTGCAGACCATGTGCCATTGGGCTGGGAATCTTTCTTAGAACTGTGGACAAGCTATGCTTGAACAGGTCCCACCCACATGTGACACACGGCAGACATCTCTTCCATTATGTGAGACAAGCAGGGACAGAATGCAGTGTCTCCCTTGAACTGAGAGATAGTTGTTCAGTCCATATCTTCCAACTGTGACCTGACATCTTTGAAGTCACCGCAGCTCTTGAGGCAGAATCCTAGGTGCTCAGAGGTGACCAAGGTTCCCTGGATATTCCCATGCCAAGTAAGACTTCTCAATGAACAAACTTGGCTGTAGAGATGGCTGTGTGCTGAGACTTGAAACTTCTATGGGTGATGGCAACCCTTGGCCAGGCTCCAAGCCCTGCTTTTATTAACACTAATGAACCACTGATTTGGGGACAGCCTCAGCATTTGCTTCTCTGAAGTTGCTGTGGGAACATCACAAACATGGAAGTTTCATCTTGAGAACTTTCTGCCCTCTCTCTCCTTGTCCTCCAGTCTGATGGGGATACTCTGTGAACAGGGAGACATGCTGGGGTTACATGGTAGGAGAGTTGATATGAAGAGCTAGAAAGAAGACTTTCTTGGACTCTGGACCAACAGAGATATCCCTTCCACCATATGAATTCCTGGGGATCATTAGCCAAGGTGGAGGGGTACCCACCATTTTATTGGATGGGATGTTCTTAAGAGAAAGTCCATCTAGAAATTCTCTCTCATACTCAGAGGGTCTGGTATCTGTGATAAGATATGCCAAGCATACTTTTTGGCATGGAAAGGGACATAGAGTTCTCACACTCCAGAAACCCAAGGGTAAACCAGAGTCTCTACATTGGGTTTCCGGTTTTGTCTGACCCAGTTCTTAAAGTAAGGCAAGTGCATCTCCAGGACCAGGGATCGGACTCCTGGTGTGCTCTGTCCTTGCTGAGGACTCAGCAGTGAAGTCTTGGCTGGTGACTGGTCAGCTATACTCACATCACTTCATGAGAGCTGCAGTTAACAGCTTGCTCGTTCGGGCACTCTATAAAAATTCCAAGCTTGCCATTTCCTCTGAGATGAATGCCAATAGCCTCTTGTTTGTCTATGGATGTAAACCGTAAGATAGCTCTAACTGATGTCCTGAGGATTTCCATAAATTAAAAACGTCGACCAGACATTTCAGTTTAAAAATTGATGTGCAGTGCAGGAGAACATTAAAATGAGGTTTCCCCAACACTAACCCTAACTGTAGATCCATCCCTGAAACAAAGCCAAATACTCACTTATTTTGCTTGAACTTGGATTCTGGGAAGGGAATACACAACCAATCCACGGTCCACTGATGTTTTTACAAAGCATCATGGATTGTCTGTAGTCTGGCATGTCACCCTATGAAAATATGTCTCTAAACCAAAAGCTAATGGTTTTATTTTTATGTAGTGAATGGGGTTGTAGAAAGCCGGGAGGAAATTCTGCCTTCCAGACTGCTTATTTTACTTGGGAAGGGAAAATGCCTCACTAATGGGTGTCCTTGAAGGCAACCTGAGCCAAGGTGAAACACTGCCAAGTTTAATGGGGTAAAAATTCCTAAGAGCAACACCAGCAAATTGTTTTCGGGAGCAATGCCCACTACCAGTGTGATTATATATTAAGGCTGGGAAGTCTCCATCTTCTTTAAGTCGAAATGACAGAGAAAACAGAAGGCAATGATTTATACTCAGTGAGAGGAGCAAAGATCTCTTCCTAGACAGGAACAGTCACAAATGCTTAGGAGCAAATTAATTATCCATAAAAGATGAAGACATAAAAGCCAACAACGTTTGCGTTCAGGGCCCTGGAACAGTCCATGAAGGCATTACCTATGAAGAATGGCTTTCAAACCTGTGAAAAGTAAACAAGAGACCTCCACATTGTATAGGCAGTCACTCTCAGGGAAAAAAATGTGTATAGTTGTGCAGAGGAATTAGCCTAAAGGGTTTTTTATGAATTTGGCAAGAAAATAATTTTGAAATGAATCCAGAACAATTGGCTTGGACTTCTAAAAGGCAATCAGAGACATAAGTGTACCACAGACAATGGTTGTGGTCTTGTCTCGCAGATATTAAAATATATTTTAAAAGTGACATGCATGGATTTGTGAGTTGATTGGCTTGAAGTCTGAGGAACAAATCAATGCAGTGTGCAGCGTGGAGGAGAAGGAGATCACAGACAGCCACATTCGGAATTTGACATGTCCAAGAGCCACATTTAATAGCAGGAAGTATACTTAAGCAAAATGGGTTTTAATTACGAATATGCTTTAATCCAATATAACCAGGCAGAGAGTCATTTCAACATGTGATCAATCAAAAAACACTAACAAGAGATTTGGTTTTGGTATTTTAGTTTTTTAGTTTCGGTGTGTCAAAGGCTTTGACATCTGCTCTACGTGCTTTTAGGTGTTCAGTCACCTGGATTTCTAGTGGAAATTTTGATCTTTATGGTGGTTTGAATAAGAATGGCCCCCATAGGCTCATAGTGAGTGGCACTATAGGAGTTGTGGCCTTGTTGGAGGAAGTATGTCACTGGAGGTGAGCTTTGAGGTTTTAAATTCGCAAGCCAGATCCAGTATCACTCTCTCTTCCTGCTGCCTGCCAATCCAGATGGAGAACTCTCAGCTGCCTCTCCAGCACCGTGTCTGCCTGAACATCAGTATGCTTCCCAACGTGATGATAATGGACTAAACCTATGAACTGTAATCTAGTCCCAGTTAAATGTTTTTCTTTATAAGAGTTGCTGTGAGTCAGGCAACGGTGTCTCATGCCTTTAATCCCAGCACTCAGTAGGCAGAGGAGGGCAGATATCTGTGACTTTGAAGGCAGCCTAGTCTACAGAGTGAGTTCCAGGTCAGGCTCCAAAGCTATAGAGAAACCCTGTCTGGGAAAACAAACAAACAAATAAACAAAAAAGAGTTACTGTGATCATAGTGTCTCTTTACAACAATAGAAACCCTAACTAAGACAACCTTAAAATATACATCACAGGACTGTCGTGACCCGGCATGTCTCAGCTCCAAGTCACGGTAGCCACGAGGTTCGGCCTGAGTCGGGGAGTGTGGATTTGGAAACTCCTAGCAACCCAACAGGGATAAAGACCAAACACAAGCATCTTGTCATCTTTAGAGAGCTCTCAGTTCCATGCGGCAAAACTGGAGTCTCTTGTTTATTTGGCATCTTCTTGGCTGTTTCTTAACCATGCTTCCATGGTCGCGAGGCCATTTCTCTCCTTCAGTTGACTCCTCTCTGCTACATAGCTCCTCACCCTCTGTCTTCCCTTGTTACTCACACACCTCACAGGACAATGAATTTTATGTTTTACATCATCAAAAATACAATGTTCAAGGAGACTAGGCAAATTTTATGATGTCCCCATAATGATTTGAAGACTTTAGAAGCCAATCACAATGAATCAAAACCGCACTGTAAGTCATTAGATGTATTAAGGTCTAAACAAAGCAGATTATAATTAAAACCTAAAAATCAGAAAA